GGCCGCCTGTGCAACAAGAGCAGCGCAGGCCCGGATGGCTGCGGCAGTATGTGCTGCGGCCGCGGCCACAACATCCTGCGCCAGACGCGCAGCGAGCGCTGCCATTGCCGCTTCCACTGGTGCTGCTTCGTAGTCTGTGAAGAGTGCCGCATCACCGAGTGGGTGAGCGTGTGCAAGTGAGCGGCCTAGGCTCCCGGGGCCCTGGGAAAGCGTTCCCTCCTACATCCGGGCCCTCTGCCTCTTTCGATCTCCGGCAAGCACTGCTGCTTCGGCTCTTGGCACAGGAGGTTGGACCGCGGGATCTTACAGGGTCTGCAGTCAGGGGACAGTCCAGGCCTATCTGACACCAAGGCTCACTTCTGTGGGCTCTAGCATTGATTGCCCCCGCTTCCGTCAAGCTCAGACTGCCCAGTGGGGCTGGAGAATGCCCCACATCCTAGCACAGTTGTCAGCCTGGGAGCCCAGCCCCTTCAGCCTGTCTCCTTTCTCCCCTACCCTTAGAGTGGGAGGGATGGGACCTCATGAGCTGGGGGAGGAAGATTAAAACGCAAAAATGGACATAGCAAGCTGAAATGATTCCATGAAGGCCCTGGACACCTTGCCCACTGGCCTCTGACCCTTATTCCCCTCGACATTCAGGTATCAGGTATTTATTTTGCACTCTCTTGGTGGCGCTCCCTGGGGGAGGAGAGGCACTGGAGACAAGGATGTGAATATGAGTCACAGCACCTGCCTTCTAGGAGTTTACATTTTGCTGAGGGAGATGGACAAAACCAATAAACACACAGTCATTTCGGACAATGTTATGCGCTGTGAAGAAAATAAAGAAAATAAAGCAGGGTGCTGGTGCACAGTGCTTTGTGTGTGTGTGTGTAGGGGGCTTCTGATAAAAGGGAAGCCTGAGATATGATTTTCCTGTTGTGACCTGCAAAATAGGACAGGGAGCCGTTAGGAGATAAAGAGGTAACGTTTTCAGGCAGAGGCCACGGGAATGCAAAAGCTCTGGGGGAGAAAGACCTCCTCCCCCTGTTGGAGCAGCAGCAGAGAGGCCCTTGTGACTGGAATGAAGAAATCAGGGGGCTGGACTGGAGAGGCACTCAGAGGGTGGGCAAACGTCAAGTCACATGTCTTTCTAGGCCTAGGTAAGAAGTTGGGATTTTACTCAAAAGCAATGGGAACTTGCAGTCTTAAGCAGGGGAGTATCATGGTCTGATTCCCACATGGATTGTTGTGTGGGGAGCTGGCTGAAAGGGAATGAGGTATTAGCTGGAAAGCAATTAGAGGGTCTCCAGCCATCTTCCAAACCAGAAATGAGGCCTGGACGGAGGCAGTGGAAATGACACAAAGGGGCTAGATCCAGAGTCTTCAGTGCCAGAGCTCCAACCGCCCACTTTGTGCCTGAGCCCTCTGCCACAAGCCAGGACGAGTGGCCGTGCCCAACAGCAACCGTCAGTAGAGACAGGAGGCACTCTGAGAGGAGCAATCCTGGGCAAGACCCAGCTCAACCCAGCCCAGTGCCCCAGGGAACAGGTGGGGCCAGGAGGTGCGGCTGGGAAGAGGGCGGAGGGGGAGGGCCCCAGACTCACTGTCTGGAGCTGAGCTCTTGGAGTTGGGGCAGGAAAGGCCGGGTATGTGATTTGTGAGCAAGGCTCAGGGGGCCAGCTTTCCCGGGCCTCTTTTGCTCCAAGAGCCCCTGCACAGGGTGGGGTGCTCCTTAGCATGTCTTAATCACTCCCTGCCCTCATGCCCATCAGAACACTGCTGTGCTGGCAGTTTGGGTTCTGGGTTGCCCCTCATTGGCTCAGATCTGATGATTTTCAGACTCTCAGGATATCAGGGAAAGAACATTTCGCCGGCTTCATCAAGGCTTCCTGCTGCTCACAGCTGGGGACCGTGCCGGCTGCCTCAGTTTATCCCAGAATGGCATCTCTCTTGATGGAGAAAAGGACACAGTCTTGTTCCTTTCCCCAATTGCTTGCCTTCCCAAGTCTCCCATTTTCCCTACCCTTGCCCTACTTTTCCATACCCTGGTTGGGAATGAAAAGGAAAGGAGCTCCATGTATGCCTGTGGCCCCTCCAGCTGGGAGATTTGCCCTCATCTCCCAGCCCTCCAGTTGCCTGCGTCGAAGCAGCTCCCAGGCATGCCTAAGGCAGCAGGCCCTTCCAAACGCTCAGCTCCGCTGCTTTGGTGGAGGGCAGAGTTTCTCTCCCCATCCCCCAAAAGACGGCCCTACCGGCAGGCGGGTGAGAGTCCCCAGGGAGAGGGGGTAGGCAGGAGCAGCCAGACACACCTGCTTCATTCCTTTCCTCTTGTTCACCCGGGAAGAGCTGTGGGGGCTGGGTTCCCACTGTCTTATCCTTCCCATTCTAGGGAGGAGGACAGACCAGTGGCTGGGGCAATTGGAGGTGTATGTGGGGTACTCTCACCTCTAGCACTGTCCACCAAAGCATTAGCTGTGGCTTCACCCTCCTCTGCCTGCCCAGACTTATAGAGGATGAGGATTGGGGTGGAAGGAGACTGGAGGTGACAGTTCTTGCATCCAGTTAGGGAATAAGGTAGAAGAGACAACACTGCAGAGCATGCTGCCTCTGAGGAGGGTGGGTGGCAAGATGGGGCAGGGGGCTGTGCAGGAGTTGTGGGGGACACATTCTAGTGAGTCAGGTCATGGTGAGCTGATGATACACACTAGCCTAGTCTGTAAAGGAGGGGAGGAAATCTTGGGAAAGAAGTGAATAGGGTGCTGCCCTCTCTCCATGAGCCAGAAGTTGAGTCCTGAGACCAAGGCTGGACCCCACAAGGGAAAGGAGGGTGTGGGACTTGATAAGGGGCCTGAGGGATGGTGAAGAGTGGGAAAAGGGGGCTGAGAGGCATTGGGCTTAGGCAATCTGGCTGAAGGATGAGGCAGGAATAATTGTGCTGAGTGGAAGTAGGAGAAATGGGCTGAAATTAAGTGGGAGGGTGGAGGTGGCATGGGGAACACAAGAGGTGAGAGTTGGAAATGGGAACAAAGGTAGCCAGAGGTCGTTTGGAGAAGAGAGGACCTTCCCTGTCTCCAGCACCTTTCACCCAATGGACCCCGGGTTACTGCCTTGCAAGCAAAAGTGGTAATAGGGTCTAATGGAGCCCAGATTGTCCCCAGAGGAGGAAGTGAGGGAACTAACAGAATGAGGGTGGTACACAGAGCAGCAAGCAGTGGTGGGGTTAAGGGTCGAGGTCAGGCAGGCGGCTGGAGCAGGATCAAAACCTAGCATCTTGCCTTTCAGTCGCCCGAGGAAGGGGGCGGGCACTCAGAATCGCCCGGGTGAAAAGCAAGGTCAGGGTCTTCCCTTCTACCCCCAATTATGCGTCTCCAGCTAGCCCCGGCAGGGGGCCTTCCTCGCTGGAGAGCCGCCAAACCCGAGTCGCGGTCCCCCTCCTCCCTTCCCGGCCCCCCTTCTGTGGTTGCCGGCAGCTGCCTGCGGTCGCCCCAGCCCCTGCGCTCAAGGCACGGGGACTTTCCAACAGAGGAAAAAATGACTTAATGAGAGTGGGAGCCGGGGGCGGGAGGGACAGGTCCCTGTAATCACGGCTCCGCTGTGGGGCCTGCGCGCCTCCGGGCACTTCCCTGGCTTCCTGCTGCCAGCGCCCTCCTTGGGTTCTGCTGGGGAAGAGGGACAGGTTGGCGACAGGGGGATCCCTTCTCAAGACCCAGGCTCTATGCGGCCCTCCAAATGGCTTTTTTCTCCTGGGGTCACTGTATATAGAAGCTAACGACCCATGATCCCTGCTCTTCGGACCTAGTGTTTTAAATTGGGATGTGTCTCTCTGTGGAGCGGGGGTCCTCTTTTGTGGATTAGATGGATAAAGGGTGGGAAAGAGAGAGGGTCCTTTGCCACTTGGCGGCTGCGT